TGGGAAGCACTTTATCTGCCCTTCCATTCTAAATGATAGCTTTGCTGGGTAGAGTAATCTTGGGTGTAGGTCCTTGCCTTTCATGACTTTGAGTACTTCCTTCCAGCCCCTTCTTGCCTACAAGGTTTCTTTTGAGAAATCAGTTGGTAGCTTTATGGGAACTCCTTTGGAGGTAACTGTCTCCTTTTCTCTTGCTGCTTTTAAGATTCTCTCCTTATCTGTAATCTTGGGTAATGTAATTATGATGTGCCTTGGTGTGTTCCTCCTTGGGTCCAATTTCTTTGGGACTCTGTGAGCTTCCTGGATCTCCTGAAAGTCTATTTCTTTCACCAGATAGGGGATGTTTTCCTTCATTATTTTTTCAAAGAAGCTTTCAATTTATTGCTCTTCCTCTTCTGGCACCTCTATGATTTGGATGTTGGAACGTTTAAAGTTGTCCCAGAGGTTCCTAAGCCTCTCCACATTTTTTTTGAACCCTTGTTTTTTTTATTCTCCTCTCGTTGAATGTTTGTTTTTCCTTCTGTTCCAAGTCATTGATTTGAGTCCTGGTTTCCTTCCCTTCACTGTTGGTTCCCTGTATATTTTTCTGTATTTCACTTCATGCAGCCTTCACTTTTCCCTCCATTTTGTGACCATACTCAACCATTTCTGTGAGTACCCAGATTACCAGTGTTTTGAACTGTGCATCTGATAGGTTGGCTATCTCCACATCACTTAGTTCTTTTTCTGGAGTTTTGGTCTGTTCTTTCATTTGGACCATATTTCTTCATCTCAGCATACCTGTTACGCTGTAAGGGGCAGAAACTTATCTATTGGCCAGGGTGGGGCAACCCATTTCTACGTTGTGGTGCTGTATATGGGGGAGGAGTCAGAGAGGGAACAATGCCACTTGCTCAGTTCTTACTCTGCTTTCAGTCACTTCCCCTGCTACCCACAAGTGAATTGCACCCTTCTGGTGCTGATACCCAGGTGGGTGGGCTTGTGTATGTTCTAGGACCCTCCACTGGCCCCTCCAGCGGACTCTCCTGTGAGACTGGCAGTTTCTTCTGTTGCCACAACCCCCACAGATTTTCATAGCCAGAGGTTTTGAGGCTTTAGTTTCCCACGCTGGAACCCAGGGTTGCACAGTTTGTCTCAGTCCCCTGTTGTTCCTCCCGGTTTATCCACACACAAATGTGGGACTGTCAGGTCCTCCAGCCACCACCTTGCCAAGTGTCCTGTCTGCATGGCTGCCCATCTCCACCCCTCCTACTGGTCTAGATGAGTGTTTCTTCTTTAACTCCTTGGTTGTCAGACTTCCATACAGTTTGATTTTCTGGGAGTTCTAGTTGTTTTTTGTTTTTAAATTGGTTGTTATCCTTCTTTTGGTTGTGTGAGGAAGTGAAGCATATTTACCTATGCCTCCATCTTGAGGACTGAAAGTTTTAACCCCTGTTTTGTTTGTTTTTTTAATACACTAGAAGAGGAAGCAGAAAAAAAATGGAGAGAGGTGAAATATAAAAGAGAGAGAGCTGAGAGTAGCTATAGAGGGCGTGTTGAGGTGATTTCCCTGAGAAAAGCTGGGAGTCTTTAGGTGTTGAGAGTGAGTCATAGAAAGAGGTAGTAACAAGGTATTAAACACCTGTACTCTAAGTAGCTGAGGACTCAGAGAAAAAGGGAGCCAAATATTACATGAAAATAACCTGGAGCAGCCAGTAGATAGAGAAAGTCATAAACCAGAGTCCAGAGAAGCACTGGTAGCAGTAGAGTCCGCAAGTCTAAGCATACCGTTTATTGGCAAGCTTCCTTTCCTTTAACATTGAACTCCATCTGGCACCTTTATTTGTTTAATCTTACCTTAAGGGAATGGTAGAATAAAACACTAAACAGCAGACCAGGTTCTAGTCCCAATTTAGTTCCTGGCTAGTTGGGTGTTTTCTAATCCAAATATAAGGGCATTGTATTCAGTGGCCTTTAAGGTCCTTTCTAGCTCTAAGAAATCTATAATCAGCTTCATCACATCAGGTCAGAGGATAGAAGGCAACGTGTGTGTATTATTGCATAGAACACTGAACAGTTGATAGAATGAGTGCAAAGTCAGGGAGATGATGAAGGAAAATAAGCACTATTTCATGGGATATTTGGGGCATATTCTGTTGGTGAGGAGGAATATGGTCCCTGATGTCAGATGCTTGTGGGAGCCAATTTTAAGGTTGCTTTGTTCATTTTAGCTGTCCAGTAAATTCCCTCACAGGGGTGTCCAAACCACAGTCCGTGGGCTGTATGCGGTTTGGGCTATATACGAGTACAGCCCCACACAAAATTGCAAATTTACTTGAAACACTATGAGATTATTTTTTGTGTGTGATTATGTGTCACAATGTCATGTAATCACAAAATCACAATGGCCCAAGACAACTCTTCTTCTTCCAATGTGGCCCAGAGACACCAAAAGGTTGGATACCCCTGCTAGAGAATGGCTACTTTCAGGTGATAAAACCTTGACTTTTTTTTTTTTTTTTTTTTTTTGGTGGGGAGAAGGAGAGGTCTGACCTAAATTATCAAGGACAGAGTGCAGGTTTCCCCTGGCACTGACTTTCAAGTACTGTAGTGGCAGACTCTCCTTCTCACTACTGTTCAGCGCTGCTGATGTCTCTTGCATTTGGGACACAGGTCACCTCTTGTATTGTGCCAGAATTGCTCTCTTCCTCCCCTAATATTTATCACTTTGTCATCCCTGACTCTGAATTCCAGAGATCAAGACTAACTGTAGTCCAACAGAGGGGCAATAAATCATTATTTCTGCTTCTTTTTCTCTAGTTTGGTGTCCCTTAATTACCACATAACCTCTCCTCTGCTGAGATTGCATCTTTGTGCTCTGTGTGCTGGATTTGTGCAAATGCTGCTTTGTCTCTCTCTAGCCATTGTTTTGGAGAGTGCTACATGTGCTACCTATCCTTTCCTCTTCTCTCCTGTGAGTTGATAGAGTGTGATTGTCAGGTGATCTGTCCATTAACAGGGCTTGTCTGAGCTCCCGGGTTGGGGGTGAAGTGAACAGCCCTTAAATAACTCAGCAAAGTGATCTTCATTAATGAGAGAGGTTTTGGCTCTGTTGGCCCTTTTTATATGAAGCTCGTCTCCTTCATTCTCTGAGCTCCTGGTAGGAGCTAAGCAGGCTGTGTGATCCAGCATACCCTCCCATGGAGCTTTCTTTTTGGTCTAGTCCAGCAGATCAATTGTTAACAGACCATATCAAAAGGGCCAGCTGCCTATCATGTGCCTTTCCATTATGAAACCTCAAAGGATTTGAGATGTGACAGGGGTGAAGAGTTCATAAGTGAGGATGTCTCCTTCCTTTCATCCCTAGCACGGCCCTTTTGCTATTTGAGGGGAAGGTTCAGCCTTTAGAAACAGAATGTAGACAGGCTCTTGTACTTTACCTTGCCTGCTGCTTCTTCACTGTACCTGTGCTTTTAGAGGATTGGAGTGAGGGGCATTGTGCGACTGGCAGCAAGTGTTCAGAGAATCTTACTCCTACTCATTATTCCCTGCTGTTTCATATCAAAGCCCATGTCTCTTCTCTAAGAGTAGTAAACTTCACACAAAGCTCAGACAGCATGGGGGAATTGACTTCTTTGCTGGCAAAGAAGCATATATGGTCTTAGAAAAGGAGAGGTCAAGCCTTTTTTTGTGTCTGTGGAAGTGAGGAGCGTTGAGGGAGAGAAGTCGTGAGGACCACAAATTGCTTGCAGCTGCCGAACTTCTCCATTTAAAAAATTTTTTCTAAATCCTTACCTGAGGACATTTTTTCCCCTGCTTTTTAGAAAGAGAGGAAGGGGGTGAGGAGAGAGAAGAGAGAGAGAGAAACAGAAACATCAATGTTAGAGAGAAACATCGACTGGCTGTATGTGCCCCAACCCGCAATCAAACATACAACCTTCTATTTTTAGAAACCTTCTATGGGCAGATAAGCAGACATGTACTTGGGAAGGTCAGTACTTTCTTCAAATATACCCACCTTACCTGCTTTTAAGGTATGTGCCCTGACTGGGAATCGAACCCACAACCATTTGGTCTACGGGATGATGCTCCAACCAACTGAACCACGCTGGCCAGGGCTGAACCCCTTCTTTATAGCTTCCCATCAAATAGGCGTGCTGAGACAGGACCAGTAGTCATCATGGGCACAGAAGCAGAATTCATTTTACAGTCCTTGGTGAAAGAGTATAAGGCAATTGATGATTTCTTTAACTCAATATTTATTTGCAAAATGTCTTGAAAGCTGCTAACCTAGGCACTTGGCAGTCTCTTTACTGAGATTGCTTGGGTTTTGGCATTCGCTGTACTCATTAAGGATTATGAGGCAGAAAGAGGACCTTTTTGGTAAATGTTGTCATGGTTCAGAAAGGATAGAGCACAGCTGCACTTTTCTTTGAATAGGTAGTACAGTTAAGGCCTTTTTTTTTTCCTTCATGAGCTCTCTTCCCATCCCAAGATGAAGTCCACGTGTAAGTTCTACAATATAGCTGGCACATCTGGTAACCAGTTAGAATTGAAAAATGTCCTTCTTAGTAATGATGTTTGAAATAGATAATGTAGTTGCAACTTGGTGACATGAGATTCCAGCAGCCTAGGGTGATTGGGAGACCCTCATTTTGACCTGTAAATTGAGTAAATTTGATGGGATAATCACCATGCGGGAGTAAATTTAGAGCACTTAAGATGTGGTTTATCGTCAAATTGCTGAGCTTAATTGCTATTTAAGAAGTGGCAAGAAGAAGATTTTTAGAAACCTTCTATGGGCAGGTAAGCAGACATGTGCTTGGGAAGGTCAGTACTGTCTTCAAATATACCCACCTTACCTGCTTTTAAAAAGTGCTTAATTAGTAGCTGTGACTCACTCATTCTAGTCCTATTTGGATTTCTGTAGAGCTAGTTGATTTTTATTGCTTTCATTTAACTTTATTGATTATGCTTTGGCTAGCTTGTTAATGTCTTTTTTTTTTTTTTTCCTTCTTAAGCCTTGATAAATTTGCTGAAGTTCCTTATGTCAAATGAGACTGTACTTTTGGCCAAACACAACATTTTTACATTAGCCCTTATGGTGAGTAACCAAAAAATATTTCTTTTTCTTAAAATATACTGTAAAGCAGAGATGAGCTATTTTGAATCAGGAGCTGGGTTCTGGGGACTAAGCCATAGGCAGAACCAGGCCTTTATTTTCCTTTTGGATCAGAATCTCTGTATTGTTGCTCCCCACTCTCACCTATGTCTTTAGCACACCTGGGACTCCTTCTCTTCTATGAGAGTATATTGTCTGGCAGAGGCAGGTGTAGGTCCATACTCTGTGTATGAGTAGAGAGACTTGGTCCCAGTTGAGAGACCACTACGCTGCTACAGTACCTATGCTGGTACATAGCAAAGTCTCTAGAGGTGTCCTAACCAGATGAGTGGTTCCATCATGTCTGTATTTGATTTCTGAGGGACATGCAGATGCATGCTTATCTGACTGGTTATTGGGGGCAGTAGGAGGGCATTGTGCCATTTTACTGTTTTCTCAGGATATCCCAGTGTGTTCATAAATGTTCAACATTTGGGGGGAAAATGTCTTGATTTATATCTTTTGCTGATTTCCATGGTAAAACTATACCCACCATGGCCAGTTCCAAGCTATTAACATGACATCACTGAATGCAGAGTTGGTAAAAGATGAGCAGTAACACACCATTATAGGGTATTCCTAACACACAAGATCGAAGAGGTTTAAATTAAAGAGTACAGTTAATACTAAAAGATAGAAAGTAAATAGGAAATGATGAGTTTTTAGTATTTATTACCTTCATTTTATTATAATTTATTGAATGATAAGTTTATATAAATTATTTTTTAATAATGACTTTGTTTAACAACCAGGTCACAAAATTCCTAAAAATTTAACAATCAGCTCTTGGAAGCAAGAGCTGGCTACAGTATATGACTAATAATACCCTTCCAGTCTTCATAGTGTGATGCCTGTATATGGACTTTTACTTCTTTTTTAGATTGTGAACCTATTTAATATGTTTATCACATATGGCGACACATTCCTGCCCACCCCCAGCAGCTATGATGAACTCTACTATGAGATTATCCGCATGCACCAGAGCTTTGACAACCTCTACTCCATGGGTAAGCTGTTTTTTCTTTTTACTCCTCTCCCCCTTTTCCTTTTACTCCTCTCTCTGCATCAGCTGTGATTTTTGGCATATAAGAGGAAAATACTACAAAAGATTCTGTAGTTGCTTGGTGCCCTTTCTTGGCATAGAAATATTATAGTCTTCTTTTCTCAGTCAATAGGAGGAATATGTGGACTTTTTTGCCTTCAGGAACTCATAATTCGTCTCAGTAGAAAGCTGGTTAGCAGCCCTGGAGGCTTTTCTTGATGTTTGTGAGAGGAGAGAGAGAGAATAGGGAGGCTTGTGGATTTAGTGAATGCAGTTAGATGGGAGTCAAAGAGTGGGTGGGATTTGACAGCAGCAAATAGAAGAGCTTGGATCCCAAAGGAAGAACATTGTGTGATTTGAGAAGGTACAGGATTTTAAGGAGTTTTAATGTACCTATGTATTTTTAGCATAAGTTACAAGAGGAAGTAGGCATTGAGATAAAAATTTTGCAAACCTTTTGGTGATTGGCTCACTGACATTTACTCTTAAATTAGTGAGTATACTACATATTTCTGAAGGAGGTCATGTATCCCTGAGAGTTTGAGTAAAGAGTCTAGTCAAGCCTACCTGGAGTTTGAAAGGTTAGGAGAGATTTCTGTAGATTGCACAGAAACAGAAATTCACTTAGTAAAGCTGTCTGTTAAAATCCCCAGCTTATTATCTTTATTGAGGTATAATTGGTATATAATGAACTGCACTCATTTAAAGTAGTATATAATTTCTGATAAGTTTTGCCATATGTGTATGTGTGTAAAGCTATCACAGACATATACATTCCAGGCTTAGCACCCATTAGTAGTTGGGTGAAGATGCCTTTCAATGAGGAAAGAGAGTTGGAATGGGGGAGATATTTTATAGAAGCCTGTCATACCTGCTTAACTGGGCCATATACACAGTCAAATGAGATAAGCCCTTCTATCTATAGCAACAAGGTAAGAGAATATCTGGGAATGCTCAAATCTGCCAAGGGAATTAAAGTGTTAACCTGACAAATAGGAAAGTGAAATTTGTACTAAATGAAGTGCAGTATCCCTCATGAATATTTCCAAATGAGGGGAAGGGGGGTGAGAGGGCAGAGAGAGAGAGAGAAAGAAACATCAATCAGTGATCGAACCTGCAACCTAGGTGTGCCCTGACTGGGAATTGAACCCGCAGCCTTTAGGTTTAGGGGACGAGGCTCCAACCAACTGAGCTAAACTGACCAAGTCTATAATTTTATTTTCTTATAATGTCATTTTCTTTCCTGGCTTTAGTGTCAGATAATATTACCTTATAAAATAAGTTGAAGAGCGTTCTCTCATCTTCTGTTTTCTGGAAGGATTTATTTAGAAGTGATGTTAGTTCTCCCTTAAATATTCAGTAGAACTTGTCAGTGAAGCCAGCTGTGCCTGGAATTTACTTTCTTAGATGATTTTTAACTATGGATTCAATTTCTTTAATAGATGTAGGACTTTTTAAGCTATGTATTCCTTTGGAGTGACTTGTAGAACTTTTTGTCTTTCAAGGAATTTGTTTTATTTCATTAAGTTGTGGGCTTTATGGACATATGATTGTTTGTGATACTCACTTATAGTACCTCTACTGATTTCCTTTCTTTCCTAATGTTGGTAATTTGTATCTTCTCTTTTTTTCTTGGTCAGTCTGGCTACATGTGTATGAAGCTTATATTTTTCAAAGAACTGGCTTTTGGTTTTATTTTTTTTCCTTCTGTTTTTCTGTTTTTATTTCATTGATTTCTGCTCTTTCTATATTACTTGCTTTGAGTTTAATTTGCTCTCCTTTTGCTATCTTTCTTAAGATTAAAGTTTTATTCTAATATAAATATTTAGTGCTGTAAATTTCTCTCTGAGTACTATTTCAGCTGCATCTCACAAACTTACTTGTTATGTTTTCATTGTTATTCAGGTTCAACATATTTTCTTTTTAAATTTTTTTTATTGTTGTTCAATTACAGTTGTCCCATTTCCCCCCCATTGCTCTCCCCTGCCTTGACCTCCCCCCAACGCATAAAATCCTGCTCCCACCTTGTCCTTGTCCATGGGTCCTTTATACATGTTCCTTTACCCTTACCTTTCTTTCCCCCTTTATTCCCCTCCTCCCTCCCCTCTGGTTACTGTCAGTTTGTTCTTTACTTCCATGTCTCTGGTTGTATTTTACTCACTTGTTTATTTTGTTGATTAGGTTTCACTTATAGGTGAGATCATATGGTATTTGCCTTTCACGGCCTGGCTTATTTCACTTAGCATAATACTCTCTAGTTCCATCCATGCTGTCATGAAGGGTAGGAGCATCTTCTCTCTTTCTGCTGTGTAGTATTCCATTGTGTAAATGTACCACAGTTTTTTGATCCACTCATTTGCTGATGGGCACTTATGCTGCTTCCAGCACTTGGCTATTGTAAATTGTGCTGCTATGAACATTGGGGTGCATAGGTTCTTTCATATTGATGTTTCAGGATTCTTAGGGTATAATCTCAGCAGAGGAATTGCTGGGTCAAAAGGCAGTTCCATTTTTAGTTTTTTGAGGAAATTCCAAACTGTTTTCCACAGTGGCTGCACCAGTCTGCACTCCCACCAACAATGTATTTGGGTTCCCTTTTCTCCACAACTTTGCCAGCACTTGATTTGTTTATGATGGCCATTCTGACCCATGTGAAGTGGTATCTCATTGTGGTTGTAATTTGCATTTCTCTGATGGCTAGTGATCTTTTCATATGTCTCTGAGCCTTGTGTATGTCTTCCTTGGAGAAATGTCTCTTCAGGTCCTTTGTCCATTTTTTTAATTAAATTGTTTGTCTTCCTGGAGTCGAGTTGTGTGAGTTCTTTATATATTTTGGAGAGCAAACCTTTGTCTGAGGTATCATTGGCAAATATATTGTCCCATACAGTTGGTTCCCTTTTCATTTTGCTGATGTTTTCTTTAGCTGTGCAGAAGGTTCAACATATTTTCTGATTTCCCTTGTGATTTTTTCTGTGATCTTTGAGTTATTAAGAATTATGTTTTTTAATTTCCAGATATTTAGGGATTTTTATAGATATCTTTCTGCTAATAATTTCTAGTTTAATTCTGTTTTGGTTCCGCAATATTCTTTGTGTGATTTTAGTGCTTTGAAATTTATTCAGACTTGTTTTGTGGGCCAGAATGTGGTACATCCTGGTAAATGTTCCTTATGCAGTTGTATTCTGATCTTTGAGTAGAGTGTTTTGTAAGTTTCAGTCTGGTCAAGTTGTTTGATAATGTTCTCTGTTTTCCCAGATTTTTCTACTTGTTCTAAAGGGACAGAGAGGACTATTGAAACTCTAACTGTAGGTTTGTCTATTTCTTCTTTTAGTTCTTTCACTTTTTGGTTCGTGCATTTTGTAGTTCTGTTGGTGGTGAATTAACCAGGTTATCATTGTGTAATGTCCCTCTTTGTCCCTAGTAATATTCCTTGTTCTGAAGTCTGTTTTGTCTGATATTAATATAGCCACCATGATTTTCTTTTGTTAGTGTCTGCATGTCTATCTTTTTCTACCCTTTTACTTTTAAATCATTTATATCTTTATATTTAAAGTGGCTGTTTTGTACAGAGCATACAATTAGGTCTTGTTTGTTATCCAGTTTGACAACCTCTGTCTCTTATTTGGTGTTTAAACAATATGCATTTGATATAATACCTAATATACTTTGTCTTTTACTTCTGTTTTCTCTCTTTTTTTTTTGTTCCTCTGTACCTCCTTTTCTGCTTTGGATAATTTGAATATTTTTAATATTCCATTTTAATTCATCAGTTGGTTTTGGTTATATTTCTTTGTATATTTTTGGCAATTGCTCTAGGATTACATTTTATATACCTTTCCAAGTCTACTTAGAGACAGTGTTGTGCCAGTTAAACAAAATGTAAAAGCTTTGCTATTGTATAGGCTTATTTAATCACCAGCCCCCAACCTTACTGTTATATCATAGTTGTAATATGTATTACATTTACATGCATTGAAAGCCCCACCAGATAATGCTATAATATTTTCTTGTGACAGTGATCCATATTCTAAAGAACTTCAGAGGGAAAAATACATATTTTATATTTACCTAGGTATTTTCCATTCCTGTTGCTTTTTTTATTTCCAAAGAACCAAATTTCTTTCTGGTATCATTTCTCTCAGTCTTAAGAATTTTCTTTAGCATTTCTTTTAAAGCAGGCCTCCTGGTGACAAGTTCTCTCTGTTTTCCTTCATTCCTGAGGGATATTTTTGCTGGATTATCCTCAACTGAGGACATTTTTTTATTGCTTTTTTGGGGGGGAAAGGGGAAAGGAGGGGAAAGGAGGGGAGAGGGAGGGGGGGAGAGAGAGAGAGAGAGAGAGAGGTTGGTTTTCTTCTTGTATGTGCCCCAACTGGGGATTGAACCTGTAACTTGGGTATGTGCCCTGACCTATAAGTGAACCCATGACCTTTTGATCTATGGGACAATGCTCCAACCAACTGAGCCACACCAGCCAGACAAGTTGATAGTTCTTAAGTGCTTTAAAGATGTTATTCCCCTTTTTCTGGCCTCCATGGTTTCTGAAAATAAATCTGTGGTCATTTAAATCATTGTTCTCTTGTTTATAATATGTTGTTTTTCTTCAGCTTCTTTTCCTTATTTTGGCTTTCAGCAGCTTGATTTGATATGTCTAGGCATAATTTTTTTCTTTGAGTTTGTCCTGTTTGGTGTTTGCTGAGCTTGAATCTCTCCAAATTTGGAAGTTTTCAGCCATTCTGTTTTGCAGATTCTTTTCTGCCCCAGTGTCTTCCTCCTCTTCTCAGACTACAATAACACAAATGTTAGACTTTTTGATATTGTCCCAAAGGTCCCTGTTTCTCCTCCCCCTTTTCTTTTTGTTCTTCATATTTAATAATTTCTGTTGTTCTATCTTTAGGTCTCCTGTGTCAATCCATTCTGCTTTTAAGGCCATCTGGTGAATTTTTAATTTTATATAATATATATTTTACATCTAAATGTTTTAATTGGTTCTTTTTCTAGTTTCAATTTCTCTGCTGAGAAATTTTATCTTTCTGTTCATTTAAATGTGTTTACCTTTTTCCATGGAGCATAGTCATAATAGTTGCTTTTAAAAGTCATAATTTTAACATCTCTGTCATCTCTGGCATCTGTTTATCTGTTCTTGAGAGAATTTGTTACATTTTCTTGTTTTATCATGTATTCTGGTTCTTTGTATGTCCTGGTTCTTTATAAGTTGAGTAATTTTGAATTACATCCTGGATAATTTGATATTATGTTGTATAGACTCAGGGTTCTCTCTCTATATTTTATTAGCGTGTGTGTATGTATATATACATAATACATATGTGTGTGTATGTGTATATATATACATATACATATATGTGTCGGGGGGGAGAGTTTTATTAGTAAGCAGTCAACCCAATTAGATTTAGGCTGCAAGTCTGTCTTACCTTCTGTGGGTAGCAGTTCCAATGTCAGCTCAGTTTTCAAGGCTTTTCTATGCTGTTTTCGATCTGGCCGGCACATGCACCATTTAAGGGTTAGTCAGAGAAGTGCATTGCTTCAGATTCTGGTTTATTTCTTAAAGCTTTTCTTTGCTACTTTTTATATGTTCCATGTTTGCTCAGCTCAAGGGTGAGCCTGAGAATTGCACAGTTTTTATATGCAGTGTTAGGGGAACACTTTCTCCTGGTCTGTCCAGGATTCCCTCTATGTTCTCTGACCAGCAGAAGCCCCCTTCCCTGGTTTCTGCCTATAGAAAGATGAGGTTCCTATTGAAGTTTTAGGCACCCACCCTCCTCCTCCATCATGTATACCTGTGACTGTCAGAGGCAAACCTGCAAGAGAAAATAGGTACAAAGAAAACCAGGGAACCCACCTTTGTGGGTGTTTCTCCAAGTTTTGACTCCCCTCTATAATATGTCTGCTTTTATTTAATTTTTACAGCTCTCAGGTTAGTTACGTTTTATATTTTATACAGGATTTCTAGCTGTTATCAGCAAGAGAAAGAGGCTGTAGAGGGCTTACTCTGCCATGCTCGAAGTGGAACCTCACCTTTATTTTTTAAAGATATTTTTGCTATCCCTGGCTGGGTGGCTCAGTTTGTTGGAGCATTGTCCTGTAACACCAAAAAGCTGTGGGTTTGATTCCCGGTCAGGGCATATGCCTGGGTTGCAGGCCTGGTTGGGACATGTGTGAGAGGCAACTGATTGATATTTATTTTGCACATTGATGCTTCTTTCCCTCTCTTTTGCTCTCCCTTCCCCTTTCTCTAAAAATAAATAAATCTTGAAATGGCATAGATACTATAATGTACCTATGTCCTAAAGCTCACAGCTGAAAGAGAATGTTCTATATTTCTATCTCTCCTCCTGTGGGTAAGTGTGGAAAAGAGAATTTTGTCAGAGAAGGGAAGAATATCCCTGTTGATTCATGTTACAGGTCACACAGTTAAGTCAAGGGAGCTAAAACAGGTTACTCCTTGATTAAAACATAACCACCTTCTATCTGGCAAGCTTACTTGTCCTGTTTGACCCAGCTTATACCTTTAGGAGAAAGATATGTATGGAGACAGTCAACTCATCCGTGCAACTCCACTAAATCAGCCCTGGTCATTAGGGAAATGATAAATGTGGAAGCCAGGTTAACTTCATATCACCACCCCAGTATAGATTATAAATGATTACAAAAACTAAATACAGAAACCCTTTAGTGGGGAGTGAAAGGTGGGGAACCCAACGTAGAGGAGGAGGAATAGTTTGATAGAAAGTAAAGAAAATTCCCAGTGAAAATAATTGAAAATGAATCCTTATATTTTCCTCTAGGACAGCGATTTTCAACCTTTTTCATCTCATGGCACACACAAACTAATTACTCAAATTCTGTCAAAAAATAGAGGTTTAATTTTGATTCATTCATACCAGATGGCTATTGTTGTGTTGGCTGTTGTCATTTTTTTGATTTGACAATCTAAGAGAAAAGAGGTCAGGGCCCCAGACTATACAGTCAGGTGTTGCATGTTTTAAAAATTCTTGCAGCACACAGGTTTAAAATTGCTGCTCTAGGATGAGGACATTTTAAACAGAAGATTAGTACGGGCTCTGCTTGGTTATTTTGATAGCATTATTCTGAGATGTGTCTTTATTCTTCATATTTGTTTTATAGCAGAAGTCTGACAGATCTTTGTTCTTTCTTTCTGTGCAGTCCTGAGGCTCTCTACCAATGCAGGCCAGTGGAAAGAAGCTGCTAGCAAGGTGACCCACGCATTGGTTAATATCAGGTAAGGAATGAGATTTTTCTTTCTTTCAGAGTTCATTGGCTCATCCTGAGGTTTATTGTACTCTTCTAAGTAGAGTGTGTTGAACACCACTACTATTTTAAGCCCTGATGTCTGTAGGAGTGAAAGAAATTGTCGTACTTGATCAAGAAAAGCCGGAGTACATGAGGCTTTCGTTTTGTCATATTGAAATAGCTCACAGTGCTGTTCTGTGAATTTCCTTACTCAGAGAGGATTGCAAGGCCTTTTCAGGCATCTTTACTGCCAAAGTATATTCTGTGTATAGGCCATCTGAAAGCTTTTCTCTGCCATTCTCAGTTCAAAGAATGACTCATGGGAATCTGGAACTTTGACGTTTTGCTTCACATGGCTATTTCTATTTGTGGTAAACAGAGGCAAATGGAGCTCGTGGGGCTGTCATTTTTGGTTCCTTATGAAACAGCAAGGCAATTACGGAGTATTGTAGGTATTGGATGAAACTGAGTCATACATGGAGTTGGTTTAGGGTCTTAAGGAAATTCGCACACTCACAGGAGTGAGCTGCTTGTAAATGGAGAGAATGTGCTTTCAGTATTAGGAAACCTAAATCTGACTTTTCGTACATTCCTTGCTCCCTTTGTGCCTATCATTTTCCATTTTCTCAACAGTTATTAAATTGTTCTTGCAAACAATTGAAAAATTAACCTTGAGTAGATGAGGCAAACTCAACAGATGGAGAAACTTGATTTAGCTCCAGATGTAAGCCTTGCCAAACATTCCCAGTAATAGTAAAGTACATTTACAACTTGGTATAGATTCTAATGTATAACAGAGCTGGGAGTCAGTGTGTTTCCGTATCTTTCTTTTTTTTTTCCTTTTTAAAATACTTTCTGTCCCTGTAGTGATTTACTATTGTGTTTGGCACATCTAAGAATGAAAACACCGTGTGAAATGTCCGTTGGGAGGGCTAGGGTGAGGGAGCATGGTGGTGAGATGTGCTAACAAGATCGCACTGAAGGTGGATCTGCCTTACCTGACCCCAGAGACGTTTTATAGCAAGCACAGTTTTACAAATCTCACAAATAAATGCATATCTGCACCTAGCAAATAAACCAAATATTGTAGTCAGGCCTTATGATAAATGATTTTCTGTAAGAATTGGAAATTACAAACTGCCTTATTCCAAATATCCCTCTGTGACCCAAGGGCAGTATGACAAATGTGGGTATTTGAAAGAAACACCAGATTCCAGGTTAGAGTATGAAGTGCATATGGGTATAATTTATGTTGTGTTTATTTATTCATGTATTTACTTAGGCTTTCCAGGCAGCTCCTTTTCATCTGGGACCTAGTTCCTTGATCACATTCCTTTATGCTTGCTTTATCTCCTACTTTGTTGCTTTTCCTTTCAGTGGCTTCTGGCTTGGCAGCTGTCCTTATTCCTTTCAAGGGCCGTCAAACAGCTGATTTAAGATTTTGGCCTGTCCTTTTTCTGAATAGCCCAGAAAGGACTGGGCTGAGTTTTGAGCAGATGACCATAACCATGACCTCTTCCTTCTCTGTGCTAGTCTCTGTTAGGCTTGTACCCGATTTTCATTCCTCAAACTTTTTTGATGAATTTGCTGCAGAATTATTACATCATCTTTACTGTTGCTAATGAATTAGACCCAAAGTATGTATCAAAGATGGAGTCATTTTTTTCAAGAGGTTCCTGGAAAGATGTATTTGAATGTCATTTATCACACTAAGGCCAGATCAGGGGAAAATATTGGTGATGCTAAGGCTGTAAAAGTTAACTTCCTTTCTTTCTGACATTTATTTTTACTTAAGTTCTAAACTTTGTGCTGCTCTTTCATATACTGTCTTCTTCAGTCCTCAAATTCTATAAGTAGACTGTATTATAAATTTTTTAAAAATACACTTTACCAGTGAGGAAACTGAGTCTCACAATTGTCATGTGGCAAAGCTGAGAATTAATCAGAGGTCTTCTAACTCCCAAGTCTAGGGCTCGCTCTTCTATATTGTAATGCCTCCTTCTATAGAATTGCATCAAAGGCTTCCATGGAGATAATCAGAAAATGCAGCATGATGTATTGAAAGGAGTATGGAAATTTGAGTTAAAGAAACTGGATTTTTTTTTTTTTTTTTTTTGGTCTCTTAATATGTGACCTTGCAGTAATTTAACTTCTCTGGACCTCTTTCCACTACCTGTAAGATGGAGGTCACGATGATATCAACTGTTTCATAGGAAAGTGGTAGTGAGAACTACATGATGTAATGTATACGAAATTACTTAGTAAACTATAAAATACTGGTCATTTCACTTAGCCTACTGTCTTTCAGTTTCATTCCTATTGTAGCATGTGTCAGAATTTCCTTCCTTTTTAGGCTGAATAATATTCCATGGCCTGTATATGCCACATTTTATTTATCCATTCATCCATTGATGAAACCCCAAGTGAGTTGCTTCCACATTTTGGTTATTGTGATTTTGGTTATTTGTGCATGGGTATGCAGGCATCTGTTTCGTCCCTGCTTTGCTTCTTTCGGACATATACCCAGAAGTAGAATTGGTGGGATCATATGGTAGTTCTGTGTTTAATTTTTTTTCGAGGAATTGCTGTACCTTTTTTCAGGTTTAGCATTTTGAGCCTTCCTTAGAAGGTTTCCTAAGTATGTCTTCATTTGTCCCTTCTATAAAAGTTAAGATGTTACTTTTAGCCTGAAGAGATATTTTGCTTTTCTCTGCTTGACTTTGATGCTGTGTATAATGGTGGTCTAGGGAGTCTTCTTTTCTCAGCGTTAGTATTTTCTCAGCTGAGGGCAAAAAAAGTGGCATGTGTGAGAAGTCTGTATTCCACTGAGCGAGAAGTCCTATTCCGACGGTAATGAGTGCTGCCTTTTTATGCTCCTTTCCTTTTTTCTGAGAGCTTGTGTTGTATATCCATGACACTATTAAATTTGGATGATTTAGATAACAGGAGACTGTCAGAAAATTGGACCTGTGGGTCTTCCAGGGATACTGTTAGATATTTAAATAGTAGCCACCAACTTGATTATCAAGAGTATATAAAGGCTTAGCAGTGAAATTGTGATGGTATGTGACATTTACTTCTGTTGTTTGTAAAGGTATTTGTGCTGATCCCACACCTGGAATGAATTTCTAAGGCAGAGCAAACAAACTCTTAGCCACCTCTCCTGTAGTATGTTCTTTGATAGCCATGGGAAGGGATTGGATTGTATGTGAAACTTTCAGACACCTAACAGCTGGGAGGGCCTGTGAGACTGATTTGCCAGTTGATGATGGCTACGTTATATCTTTGGGATCTTCTGGAATGCAGTACGTCTAATGCCAAGCCTAACATAGTGTATCGCCAGCAGGTGAAAGGCAGCAGAAAAGCTGCAGACCTTTCTGTTTGGGGTTTAGATTGTGATGGTGAAAATAAAAAAGTACTTCCACATGTTTGGAGTCTTAAATTTGCTCGAGTGTCAGACTGTTTGCTTTTCACTTGTCTTTCCTGGATTAGTCATGCTAGTTCTTTAATTGTCAAAGTTATTTGTATTTAAACAATTTGGCTTTCTCTTCCTGTGTGATCCTTCAGAGATATTCTTAAAATGCAGCTGCCTAGAAACTGCTATTTTTATTGGGACACCTGATGTCATTAACATACAGGGCTCTATGTTTGTTCCTCCCCATAGGAGGGTTGTCTTGTTGCTTTGCCACAAGAAAAATAAAATATTATAGCCCCTCCTTTAAAATTCCACTCGGTGTAATTGTACCACAGCTGCCTTCACAGATCTCCTGGTCCACAGAGGAAGAGTACTGTGAGGGGCCATGTGCAGGGATGCAAAGAGAAAACATTTGGGAAGTTTTGCTTGGAGACTTCTATACTAAGTATTTTCTGCCACCGCTTAGCAAGTTCCTCCACTGAGGTCCTGTAGAGGTCTGCTGACTGTTGCCTAATTAGTCAAAAGAGAAAAAGAAAAATGTTAGACTAAATTTTGACCCTCATCTAATCATACAACTTTTGTGGTAAGTAATTTGAAGCCCTTAATGAATCTTTTCGAGTTAACATCTTAATGCTTTTCACTTAATGAACATTTTATTAGCGTCAAGTTCACAATCCTATTCTCTGGTTGCTCACATAAGTAGTAGTGGCTGAATCACTGCAAATAGGGTTTTTTCCCTGATCTATAATTTTCTGAAGTTGGATAAAACCTGAACTCTATGTTTTATATATTAATTTCTTTGTTTATTTGGAGTGGGTTAAGCTAAAGTTTTAGTTTTTCTTCAAGAAAGACTTTTAAAATATTGCTATGGTTAGTGACAAGCGTGGGGTTTGGAATGAGACTTTAGTGCATTTCTTTGTCAGTCTCTTAATTGTTCACCTGGTGAGTTTGCCTCTTGCCCCCCTGCTTGCTCCATGGTCTTTTTGTTCCCAATGCTAAGGTGATCCACCTTCCTCCCCACCCCCCCTCAGTTCCTGCTTATGTGCTTATGAAACTGTTTTCCTTTACCCTGAAAAAATAAATACCCCCTCCAAAAAAGGAGGTGGAGGAGGAGGAGGAAAGTCTTAAATGTGTACTTTGCTGGGTAGGCGAAAGAACAAGAATAGCTCTCAGCAGCCTCTAGATTAAAGGAAGGGGGTTCATGGAGCTTAACACCCTTTGGAGCAGGTTATTCATAGAGTTCTGAATGTTACAGAATAAAAATCTTCAGGCAGTAATCAAAGAGAGTATACTCACTGTTGATGGCCATTGAGTTAGGGTTGGGAAGGAAATGTGAGGTCTCCATTACACAAAGTTCCCCCAAATCCCCTTGCCCATGTACCTGTTCAGGCTACAAAATTAGTCACAGTTCTCGTATCAGAATAGATACTGATGAGTTGAGAAGAGGAACAGTTTGATTCGGGGCACTTCAGCTGAAGGATGAAACTTAGTCTAGTGAAAGGTAAACATAGTCTAGTGAAAGGTAAACACGGACTACAGCGATTAATGGTAGGAGCAGAGGCATTTGGGCTGAT